TATGTTGTAAGCCACATAAATATTAATCGGCTTAGTGTTGTGCAGCTTAGTGGAGCAGCCACAACTTAAGGTGAAAAACCATCTCTGACTGTCCTTGTCCTGCACAGCTGTGACTTGCCACTAGCGGCTTGGTGAGGAGGAGCTAGGGGCAGGATGGTCCCAGGTGGAGGCAGTACCCTATAATGTTCCTATAACATTCCTTATCCTTTTCTGTGATTAAAAATTAATCTGAACCCCCTAAATCTGAGATTATATTCATTTTCCTGCAGCAGAGACTTAACTATCAGGGTCTGCAATGTACCAGGGTAGCAAGGGTGCTGCAAGGGTAGTGACAGGGGCTGGGGAGGCTGCAGCAGTAGTGGTGCCTGGGCTGACACTAACAGGGGTGCTGTTTTTGAGCTCCCCATAAGTGGGCACCCAGGACAGGTGCTCCTGTTACCCACCTCTCATTATGCTACTGTTCCACAGGAACTGCCAGCCTAGCTCTAAACATGACTTGAAATATTCTGAGATTGTCAAAATTATTTTCCCTAGAAATGAGGAGAATGATACCTGCCTGAAAAAATATTTACTCAGATTATCTCAATGGAATGTTCTTCGGTCTGAAAATTTCTGACCAACCGTAGTGTTTATGTCAAACCACCCAAAATCTACATTTATGCAGCTTTTACAGGCTTAAATGGTCCAAGCAGCCTGTGGAACGTCAGGTGACATGATGCACTCTTTCTAAGCCCTCTGTACTATATAGTTTGTTTAATTATCGGGCAAGTTCCAACTTGACTCTCAAAGGAATTGGTGCCAATATTTTGAGAGTGCTTTTTAAATGATAATGGATCCTGATTTCAATGCACTTCAATCAGCAAATAACTTATGTCCTCAATTATATGTATTCCCGGATGTTTGTCTTACATATCATCTACATGTTACTGAGTATTTAAAGGAAGGAACTTGAACAGCAACTATCTGACACTCCTGCAAAATGTCAGGTGGGGAGAATGCTTTGCTGCTGTCCCTTGTTCTCACAGCCTGCTTCACGGCTCTTACAGCTGATGGTAAGATTTGAAGCTTTTTTGTAGTGTGACCTTTCCTGAGACAAACAGAACAAATGTAAAGACAATTAATTTGGAGCTTCTTTTACTTCTGTGCTTTTTAATGCTGGACCTTAACACTTGTAAACTACTTAGAAGAAAAATCCTGAAGTCTGGATATCAAACAGTTTGTGATTTCTTTTCCTTGACTTGTTTTCAGGTGTATGACTGTTTGTGGCAACGTAAGTTCTTATGATCTCTACGTGTTTCCACATTAAGGGAACTTTCCACATTGGGACAGGTACCTGCTTGCTGCAGGTGAACTCTTAAGATTCTAATCAATAAAGTCACTTGTTCAGTGACATAAATTCACAGAACATCTTGCAAGCAGTGAAACATTCCCTTGTGCAAAGAACTTGTGCTATAAGGTCCCAAGCCACCGCCCCCACTGTGGGTGAAGACAGAGGTCTAACTGGTAGAGTCTGCTCCCTGAAGAGCAGGGTGATACGGTTTGCACAAGGAGCTGCTAGAGTGCAGGCAGGGGAGCTTGAGGCTCTGGCCATGCAGAATGAAGTGGAGCAGGGACAGAGGACTGCCTTGAGGGCAGGTGTCACTGTCAGCTGCCATGTTAATTCTCCCTGGGCCCCACAACCAGTGCAGTTTTATATGGTGAGTGACCAAGCAAAGCCCTTAATTTGGAGGTGGCTGCAGGGTCAAAAGTAACCCGACTGTCAGCAACACCACCACCCGTCAGGGTCTCCATGCTTTCCGTTTCGGTGGAACCTCAAGCCCCCACTTCTAATCCAGCACTCCCTTTACTGGGTGCCTGGGGTCATGCCCCTTTAGTTACTCTACTGGCTAAAGACAACAGTCCCCACTCAGGCGGTCTGGATCATTCATCAGGGCTCCGTGAAGAGCACAGAAAATTCTCGCCCTTTCCCAAAGGCAGCCAGAATGCAAGAGCCCAAGGCTAGAGGAGTGTACAGTGTACATTACAGTAAGCCTCATCTTGGTGAGCTATTTAACACAACTGGGATTAAACTGTGCTGAGACAGTTCCCTGGCATAAATGTAATAGTGGCCATGGCACAGTCGGTGTCATAGTGGGGGGATGTTAGGCATTAATTGGACCCCATAAACAACAGCTAAAAGTAGAATTATTTGCTATCTGTGCATTATAGTGCTTTGTGCCTAAAAGCTTGCCCAGTGTCTCTCCCAGCTACACAGTTGGTCTACTTAAGGATAGTATAGACTTAAGTAACAATGGGCAGAGCCTCAGTCATTCTCTCTTTACCTTTGGAGGTTGGAGAGAGAAATCAAATCCCTGAAAGCATGTTCATGCTTCACGTATGGTTCAAGGTAGGAGGTAAGTCTGGAAATGTCTTATTTTATGGATCTACTCAGAGTCCAAGCAAAATGTAGTAATCTTATAACAATAATTGATCTTGTCAGTGTTTAAACCAACTTAGGCTGGCATCTCAGGAGAACCCTATGGAGTTTGTGCTATCAAACTCAAAACCAAGTTCAATTTTAGCCTCTCATCCAAAGGCCAACCTAAATTAAATCTAGATCCTAACATTCCCAGCTTAGTCAAAAAGTATGCAAATACTCATACTATCTAAATAGACAAACAAAAAAATCCTGCCTTAAACTAGACTCTGAGAACTGAGTTTAAATAGGTGTAAGAAAGGATGTTGGTTGACTTATGGCACACCCAAGGTTGCTAAAAGTTAACCTTTATGATTGGTCTTCAATATGAAGTCCTGATCATACTGAACTCAAGAGCCAAACTCCAAGTGACTTTGGAGGGAACAAGGGAAAGCAGGATATCACCCATGATAATAGTAATTAAAGAGACATTCTCATTTTATAAATAGGATTCATACCTAATTCATAATGCAGAGTATTTGTCACATGGTGATTGATCTGGCTGCAAGGTTTTCCCTAGAAATTCTTCACTTTGTTAAAGTGTTGAGAAGATCAGACTCTTACCATTTCTAACTTGAGGAAATGCACCAAATTGGGGTAATGTAGGTAGTCCCAATTATGAGGCAAAATAGTTGGAGTCAGAAATTTCCCTGTGGAAATCTTGTTTACTTGCATAGAATGTGCAATGTATCATACCTCTGAGAACAGGTTGAATAAGAAAGTTCCTTGCTCTGAAACCTGGGCCAAAAATCCTCGCCTAATGCTGTGCCCTGTGTTTGTCCAAATTGTCTGTGATGCCTCCCTTGTATCAGTCACATACACTCCTCCTCCCTCTCAGAGCAACACCAAGCAAAGCCTCTCCAGCAACAGAGGTCCAGTTCCAGAGTGGCCTTGCATCGCATATATCTTTATTATGCACAGGGACATTTTCTTTGTTTTTGCTTTGGAGGCCATTAGAACTTCCTGAAGGAGTTAAACTTTTCCTTTTACACATATTTTCAATGAATGGTAAGTACCTCTTCCAGGGTTAAAGATGCACTGCCTAATATACAAAAATACTTTGAAAGCCATATGTTTTGTTACTGTCTTCCGCCACTTATTAGCTAAATGCTACATTGTGGGCCTTAATCAAACAAATTCATGATCTTTTGTTTAGATAGACAGTTAGTAAACTTCAGATAGAGACTTCTAATAAATATGACCAGAGGTAGGGTTGAAAGTAGGGCGTTGTGAAACAGCATCACTTCGTTTCAACTTCCATTTCGCCGTTTTGAAGGGACCGTGTTTCGTTTCATCATTTCATTTCAAAGCACTGTTATGTTTCATTTCGTCAAACTGTTTCTCTGTTTCGACATGTTTCAGTGTTTCACCCATAAGCTATAAGGGGCAATCATGAAAATGCCTATAACTTTGTCATTTCTTGCCTGATTCAGATGATTGCAGGGATGGTAGCCCCTTCTGAAGGCATGAAACCTGCCAAGTTTCAAGGAGATAGGTGGAGGGGTTTCTGGAAAACTACACCTCAAACTGCTGATGAGCAAAACTCGTATCATTTGCTGTCATTCTGCGTGCAGATCCGGGGGCCCATGCCCCCGGGAGGGCTTCAGGGCTGTGCTAGACTCCTCCCAGGGGTGCAGGCCCCTAGATCTGTGCATGGGATGACAGTGAGCTGCCACTGGCGGCTGGGACCAGTGTTGAATGCTGGGAAGCCGAGTGCCAGGAAGCCTGGTGCTGCTGCTGGCCCCAGCTGGCAGCATGCTGTCATCCCACATGTGGATGTGGGGGCCTGTGCAAATCCGGGGCCCGCACTGCAGCAAACCCAGCTTCAAAATGCAAAACGTTTTGAAACTTTTGAATTGTTTCGAGTGGCCTCATTTTGTATCAAAGTTGTTTTGAAACCTTTTGTTTCATTTCAATTTTGCTGTTTCAAGAGTAAAACTCATCGAAACAGCTTCAAAACAAAACACCCATTGAAATTTCACACAGCCCTAGTTGAAAGGGGTGGGAAACATTAATTGGGTGTCAATATTTACAGAATTCTTTTGTAGGAGAGGAGAAATGTTTAAAATGCATAAAAAGTCTTAGAGACTTCTTGTACCCTTTTGAACATAGCACTGTATAACCTGATTTTGTGCATGTGGTTCACAGGACAATGTGTAACACAACCAGAAGTGGATACCAAATATGGGAAACTCCGTGGGAAGCAAATCCAAGTAGAAGCAGCAGGAGCTGGGAAATGTGTCAATGTTTTCCTGGGAATTCCTTTTGCAAAGCCACCCATTGGCCCCTTGAGGTTTAGCCCACCGCAGCGACCTAAGCCATGGCAGGGTGTCCGAGACGCAACTTCCTACCCTCCTATGTAAGACACTGACATGGCATTTGGATGGCTGAGTTAAATTAATTTTAAAATCTAGGTGAAACCCACAGGACTAACACTTGGCGCAATTTAAATCTTGGTAAATTAGCTCTTGTGAAACCATTGAACTGGGATGGGTTACTGCCAACAGAGTGTTTAGAATTGGGTGAATTTTGCAGGTAATTCCTGGGAAGCTTAAGTGGCTTGAGCAATGACACTTAGAATATGTGAGAAGCATATAGCTCAGAAGCAGATCTGACCAGGAGCTAAGAAAATGCTTGGAGGAACAAAATGCCACGCAAGTCACTCAACCAGTACTATAGTTGTGGCCAATTCCATTCTATACAAAGAGTATTTGTATTATCTGACTGCAGGATCATTGTAATATCTGTCTTCTATGAGTACCTAACACCATCATGGACAGCTGATCTTTCATTTTCCCTGAATGAAACTAGGTGGAAGGAGACTTGTTTGTCTTAGCTGGGTGAATCTACACAAAACATTTACTGCACAATTGACTATCTGCTCAGTAAATGTCCCAGTATCTACACGTGCCCTCCTTAGGGCATGTGTAGATGTGGCCCCAGCTGGCTGGGGCACAGGGTTTCTCAGCACAGGGCTAGCCAGCAAGCAGCCCCTGTGCTGAGGCATGCTGCACCCCAGGCAGCCACATGGCAACGTATGAGATGCAGAGAGCAGCTGCTTCCCCTGTCTCCATGTGCTATGCTGGGGCTAGCTAGGGCACAGGGTTTCTCAGTGCAGGGCTAACCCCATGCTGAGAAACCCTGTGCCCCAGCCAGCCAGGGCAGCATCTACATATGCACTGCTGAGCACAAAAAAGCTCTGGAGCAATAAGCTCCAGAGTTTATCCATGCTCATTAATCGCACATGTAGACGCACCTGCTTTGTCTTAGTCTGCAAGCAAATTGCTGTGATGTTTAGAGAAATGAAAACATTGAGCCTTCATTTCCTTGTGTTCTGCTGGAGACTGGCCATTGTCTGTGTGGCTCCTCCTCAGTGGATGCTTGATCAGCAGGTATGTGGGGAAAAATGTTTTTATATTAATGAAGGAAAATAATTGCAAGTTATCTGTTACTAACAAATCTGGTAACCTATCAGAGGAAGGAAGGATTTGTGAACAAAACATCTGAGGATTGTTGTTACTGTGTTTGTACTGATCATTTGAAAAATATATATTTTTTAAATTATTAAGGTGTCTGCAAGACAAGGAGACTGGACAGCTTCTATCAGACACGCTTACTAACAGAAAAGAGAAAGTCTCTTTACAAATGTCTGAAGACTGCTTGTACTTGAATGTGTATGTACCTGCTGATTCAAAGAAACAGAAGAAGCTACCAGTAAGTAAACTCACTGCAAAAACCATGGCTCATCTAATCTCCATTATGACCTGATACAGCTAGTTAAGCCATAGCTTCCAAGAGTGTCTCTCTCATTGAGTTTGATGCTTGCTTACTCTAGGGCTCTATTTGGTTAAATAAGTGAAAAGTTTTAGAGGCTACTTTTCTGTTTTCCTGGTTGCATAGTCAGTCTTACATCTGTGTGACCCACAGAACAAATTAAACCTTGATGTAGTGTGTACAGAAGTGCTCCATGCATGTTTTACAGTGCTGTAATTTAGAGCACTTTTTATAGCACTATAAAGTTACAATGCTTTTAAACATAACAGAAGTCCCTGTGGGATGGGGGCGGTCTCTGAGCCTCCTGCATTTTCCAGACTAGGAGGCAGGGGATGCTCCACAACCTCTTGGAGCTTCTCCACTAGTGAGAAATTTGACCAGAGTAAAGAAGTTATTTAAAGTGCTCTAGGTTGCTAAAGTGCTATAAAATACAGCGCTTCAAATTTAATAACTCATTTAACAAGGGTTAACTTCAAGCGCTATCCCCATTTTTAAAGTGCTGTAAACCTGTGCACTTCTGTTAGGTCATGGCAATAAAGTGCTTTAAGTGGCAAAAAAGCAACTTCTGTACACACCCATAATTGAATGTATCACCCCTTGAGTTCAATGCCAATTTGCTCCAGAGCTTAATTTGACTGAGCAAGAGAAGCTTCACAGCACTTGACTACTGTATGCAAACTTGCAAATGCAGCGAACAGGCTCTACCTGGTCACCTGTTTAGATTATTAAACTTCGCTGAGATTTGCCAGACATGCAACCCTCTGATATAATTGGTATATTTCAGTAACAGGTAGCTCAACTCCTTTTTTTCCCTTCTTCAGGTTTTAGTTTGGCTTCCTGGAGGAGGGTTAGTGTTGGGTGCAGCTTCAACATATGATGGCTCAGCATTAGCAGCCTTTGAAAATGTGATGTTTGTAACACCTCAGTACCGACTAGGCGTCCCTGGATTTTTTACGTAAGACACTGTATCCCAATTTTTTCCAAAGCACTTCCAGAAGTGTATATTCCTATGTCTAAGGAAATGGATTCACAAAGGATTGCCATGTAAAATTTGAGTAGCTAAACATCTATTTGACTTATGCATACCAAGTTTTTGAATAATTTTAGAAAGTTAAGTCACTTTCAAACTATGCCCTTGTTTGATTGGTTCTTACATTTATCTTAAGATGTTCTTGAAATGGACCCATTCCTTTCTGCCTCATTTAAAATGGCTTTTTGGACATTGGGTACATCTACACAAGATGTTTACTGTGGACCTGCCTAACTAGCTCCACAGTAAAGTCTCCGCGTCTGTTTGCAGCTCTATTAGGCTGCGTTAAACTAATAAACTCCACCACAGGATAGTAAATACAAGTACTATCCTACTGCAGAGTTATTTACTGCACAGCAATACACATGTAGATGCTGATGGGGTTGGCTGGGGCACAATAGTGCTTCAGTGCAGAGGCTGCCTGCCAGTTAGCCCCACAATGAAGCACCCTCATGCCCCAGCCAACCCCTCCACAGCATGTTGAGCTAGGTTGGAGCAGTCACAGGCTGGCAGACAGCCCCAAACTGGCACCCATCTGAACATGCTCCAGCCCCACGCATACATGTAAATGCGGCACCTGGGAGCAATAAACTCCGGTGCAATATGCACTGGAGTTTATTGCTTCAAATTAATTGCATGTGTACATACACCCACTGAAACTTATCACCAGATATTTATTTACCTTTACATTTCATTCTTATGCTAAGAACTTGTATACGTGCATTCATTCAGCTTTTTTCACGTACTATTTTAACCACCGGATAATACAAATTTAAGACATCGTCACTCACACAGACTCATCCTCCTTCCACCCCCACAAATAGGCAGTTATCAATATTTTACAGTTGTTACAGAAGGGAGAGTCTGAATGGGTCTGAATGCAGACAGCAAAATAAAATAACATCCTCAAAGAGTGTGAGAAGACTGTTTAGCTGCATGCTATTTAGCTGGCGCCAACAACATAGGCAAGTAGTGCTCGAACATAAGAACATCGACCCTATTCCTCTTGAGCTCTCAAGAGTTCAGAGGTCGGCGTCTTATTCTGACACCGCCAAGAGTTCCATTTTCAGCCTCTTGCTCCCACCGCAGCTTAGATATGTTCCTTGGGTGTTTCACATAACCAAATATCCGAAACTCCACAAAGAGCTACTCATGTCCCATATATGTCCTTTTGTTTCAGTACTGGTGATGAACATGCCTGTGGTAACTGGGGTTACTTGGATCAAGTGGCAGCTCTGATTTGGATTCAGGAAAATATCGCATTTTTTGGAGGAGATCCAGGGTCCGTCACCATATCTGGAGAGTCTGCAGGAGGAATGAGTGCTTCTGCCCTTGTAGGTTTACAGTGATCATTAACTTTAATGAACTTTAAAATATCCTAATCAGATGGGAACAAGTGTACATTACCTTCAACTAGGGACAGTTTGATACCAAAAACATGATCCTGATTGATGAAAATCTTCTGTTTAATTTAATACCTTGATGATTGAGTCATCTTCCACTGAGTATGGAGTTCTTTCAAACAGTTGAGACAAGAATAATATTGCAGCCCCCAATCAAAATTCACACCTGTGTGGAAGTTGCCTAGGTTAGGTCTTGTGCCTCATTTCAGATCTCTAGTAAATGTCACTTGCATATGCTATCAGCATAGGAGCCATGGGAACAACACAAAGTGATGATTAACCAGGCCTGGATTTGGGAATCCATCACATAAACAAACTTTCTGAAAAGCATGTCCTTTTTTTCTGAACGAAGAAGGTATGCTTCACCAAATATTTTAAGAGGTCTGAAACTTAGCGTCCATTTATGGAGCACTTGACATGGTCTTACAATATTTACTTTCAAAAGTGAAATAAATTCAACTCAAAGGTCCTTCCTTCCAAGCCCAATGGCCTACTGCACTAAGGCAGTGGTTCTCAGCCCGGGTGTTGTAAGGAATTGCCAGGGGTGCCATGCCACCACCACCACCGCAGGGTGAACCTGCCCTGTGCAGCCAGGTTTCAGGAGGTACGTCAGAGCCGAACCAGCGGGAGTTGCAGCAGAAGTGGCACATCTGCCTGTGTGATGTAATACTGGTGGGCCTGACTTTCTGCTGCTGCCACTTCCCAATGTGGCTCTGCAGGAGGTGCGCAGTGCAGTTCTACCTGGTTGTAGTGGCAGTGGTTGTGCCTCAGCACACCCTTGGCCTGCATCCTTCCCGCTCCTGGGGTTTATGTGTCCTCTTTTCCACCCCTTGCCCTTCCCACCCCATCCCCACTCCCCATGTACTGCATGTGTAGCCCTGCACCTTGTCTCTACTGACCTGGGTTCCCTAGGCTCTGCCTGTTACGGCCCCAGGGCTGGAGTTCAGGGGATAACAGAGGGCACTTAGTCCAGTGGTTCCCAGTCCCCCACAAGTGACCACGAGTGACCTGGAACCATGTGTGGGGAGTCCGCTGTGGCACTGGGAGCAAGCATGCATTGGGTCAGACAGAGCTAGGGGAGCACTCCCTGCCAGTGGCCTGAATGGGTGAAGTATATAATGGGTGAAGCACATGTAAGTACATAATCTACTAGGGCCATGTTAATTATATTAACAAGCATATAATTATAATGTGTGTACAGGGACCCAGGAGCCTAGCATTGCCTGAGAAAGGGCAGAAACAACTGAGACAGAGGAAGAGCTTGTGGCCAGAGGGGCTGGAGAGCTAGATAAGGGGCTGGAGCCCAAGGAGCCACACTCAGTGTGGTGTGTCTGAGCCAGAGGGGTCCAGCCAGAGTAGTGAGGCCTCATGTGCTTGGAGCACCTGAGCCTCCTTGCCTGCATACCCACTAAAAGTGAAACACCACTGTTAAAATGCAATTCATGACATGGCACTGTTGTTCATTTCCTTCGTTTCCTTTTTTTCAGGTCCTGTCTCCACTGGCAAAGGGCTTGTTTCATAAGGCCATCTCGGAAAGCGGAGTTGCATACAGTCCTTTGTTTACTGACCATCCGAGGGAACAAACTAAAGTAGATTTTTTTGTGATACTTTTAAGAAGCATTCTTACAAGCTTTCTACATTTACACTGCTTTTTCAAAGACTAGAACCTGGTTTGTCCCTGGAACAACATAACTGTAGATATAAATGCCTGCATTTCTGTGCACAAAAAGAGTATATACTTGACACTTTGGGCACTTTTACATGTGCTCTGACACATTCTGATTGGAATAGGTCAGGGCAGAATAATCGATTAATCGAGTCTGCTGGAGCGTTCTAATCAAAACGCTCCAGCGTGTTGCAGTGTCTCGTGTATGCAGCACCCCCACATTTCAAAATCACAGCGGGAACACTTTAATTAAATCTTGTAAAACAAGATTGAGTTAAAATGCCCCCACTGCCATTTTGAAACGTGGATTGCTGAATACTGTGGGTGTTTTAATTAGAGCAGCTCCCACTGCCATTCTGAAACATGGGATGCTGACACACTGTAGGTGTTTTAATTAGAGCGGCTCTCAAGAGCCACTTTAATTAAAACACACACACCCCGCCCCCACCTCTACTACAGAGCTCATGTACAGACACTCTTTGCCATAAGCAGTGGGAGAAAATATTACTTCGGAGAGCTCGGTGGTGTGAGGCACGCCTGCCTGACCCCCACCTCTGCCTCCTGTAGGGCTGTTTCAGGGGCCAGCATGTGCTGGTGCTGTACATGCAGCAGCAAAGGAGCGTGTGGCAGGGGCGCTGGATGCGGCGCTGGAGCAGTAGAGCTGCTGTCACAGGCCCAATTTGGCGGGGTTAAGCCCCTTAGTCCCAGCCTTCCACTACCTATGCCCTTTGCTATCAAGGTGTTCATCTATACATGCATTAATACTGTTGACATATTCAAACTGTTTTGGTTTAGCCTTGCTCCCACTCTTAAAAATATTTGTCTTCTGAAAATTGGTTGGGATGTCATCAGGGCAGGACAATTAACAATTAATTAAATTGCAACAGAAGAAATATCAGTTGCATATTAGGAAGAACTTTCTAACTTATGAGGGTGGAAAAGCACTAGTACAGATTACTGAATGAGGTTGAGGAATCTCCATCCCTGAAAGTTTTAAAGTGTTGGTTAGACAAACATTTGGCTGGGATAGTTTAGACCGCAATGATCTTGCCTTGAAGAGGTGGATGGACTATATTGGGGCAGGCGATTATTTTGAGCGGAGGGCTGCTTACTGAGTTTTGGAAAGCCATCGAGGGCTGCATGACAGGCAGCCAGGGGCAGATAAACATTAATTTTCTAAATTTTTTAGGGGCCCCGCGGGCCGGATAGAATGACCTGGTGGGCCACATCCAGCCCATGGGCCGCGTTTTGCCCCCCCCCCAGACTATATGGTCACCCGAGTTCCCTTCAGTTGTATCACTTAAAAAGTTTTTGAAATGCAGGAACATCAGCACTCTTTGCAGAAATACTCCTCTGTCTTTCTCATCAAATTATTAATGCGGCTCAAGAGATTTTGGACCTTTAAAATAATGAAATCAGTTTAAACTAGAGATCCCCTAAAATCATGATTACCCTGTCCCAAAAGCCCTAGAATAGCCCTGTCTACAGTAAAGTGCTATTTAACAGTTACTTTTTCTTACTATTGTCTACATGGTGATATTCTAAATCTGAATCCTTCTTGCAATGTCTGAGATCTTGTTAAGCCATGCACAAGGCCTGACCATCAGTTTCTATCATGTTTTTTTTCCTAGACTGGCTGCATTGGTGTGTTTCTGTATCTTAACTATATGAGCATAACTTGCTGCCTCCTATCACTGTTAGAGCATATAGACTTTCCACCCATATTAAAGTATAGTCCCCCAGGGAGGTAAAGAGAGCCATGAAGAGATGAGTGACTGGTTTGTTTCAACTGATTGCAGAGAATTGCTCGTGTATCTGGCTGTGAATCGCCCAGTTCTGCTAAAATAGTACAGTGCCTAAGGGGAAAATCAGAAAAGGAAATAGTAAAGATTACTCTTGACTTGGTAAGCGATGCTGTATTCACTGCATATGAAGTGACTCTTATACTTTTACTGCTATAAAATAATATTTAAAAAACCTGTGGGCTCTAAAATTAAAGTAAAACCATCACATAACTCCTCTTGCTTTTTTCAGGACTTCACAACACTATATTTGAGCAATGCATCATCTCCAGAATCTAAAGAGGTGACATTTTCTTTCCCCTGTGGGCTTTAAAATATTTGTGTCCTATTGCAGAAGCATTTTCACTGCAGTCATACAGGAAAAATTCAGTTGCTAAGGAAGAAATAAATGTGAAAAATGCCAATGCAAGACTGCAAGCCAAAGTTTAGACAGATTTTGTGAAAATGCACAAAATGAAAAACAGTCATTTGTACAGCTCGTAGGAGCATGCTAACCACCAGCACGATACGTTTTGTGCCAAGAGGGGCAGACATAGCACAGGAGAGAGGAAGTCTTGCATGATATGGCAGGAGAGAGGTCCTGTGCATTGGGGGAACATATTTGGGATTGATCAGAACTCTGTAGAAAGTACAGACATTTTGAAAAGTACCTTTTCTGCACTGTGATAATTTAGTTAGGGCCATTACTACATGATCGTGTCTAGTTTTTGCCATCAGTTAGTTAGCTTTCCAGTTCTTCTCTAGTTCACACATCTAAGTTAATTTTGCTCCCCATTCTGCTGATGCAAAATTAATATAAGAAAGGATGGAGGTTAGCCATTATCACTGTCCATACCGAGCCAAGTACACAGTCATAAGCAGCGCAGAATGTCTGCAGTAGAGATTCAGAGCAGAGCTTTAAAAAAATTGCCATCTCTGATGTTTTATATTTAGAATGGAAATCTGAAGATAATTTCCAAAGACAAAAATAATTTGTAAGTAACAAAGAGTTTTGTTTTTTATCCAGCATCCTGTATTCATATACACAGTTGTGGATGGTGTTTTTTTTCCTAAAAGCCCTAAGAAGCTACTGGCTAACAAAATAATGAACTCCATCCCACATATAATAGGAGTAACTAATGATGAACTTGGATTCCTGCTTCCTACTGTAAGATACTTATAATGATCTTTCATTCTAAATCAGTTTGTTAGCCTGTAGGAATATAGAAGATGACAGTAAACAGGTTCTTTTCCCTGTGTAGCTCCTGAAATTTCCTCCTTATGTAAATGGGTTGGACAAAGAAACAGCAATTCAAGTTATAAAGGGCTTACAGTCAGTCACGGTAAGTGATTATTTCACATTAATTCATTAATGATGGGTACACTCCAACTTGCTCTCTATCCCTTCACACCAAACCCTTAATATTTAAATTGATTGTGCTGCTCCATTAATGGAGGGAACTATGTTCTTTTTGTGAAAGGTATATCTAAAATTGGTGGTGTTTCATTTAAAATCATGGAAAAATGTGGATTTTGGGTTACTCTTTTTAATCCAAAAATTGGGGATTTTTTTTAATCAGAGAAACCCAGGATCCCTGATCATCATTATTACAATTATCTTCATTCCTCATTCCAGAAACTGCCTCACAAACTAGTTAATCAAGTGTTTAATGAATATGTACAGAATCCAAAAGACCAAATTCAGGTACGAGATGGGATGCTAGACTTGTTAGAAGATGCAGTTTTTCTTGTTCCATCCATTGTAACAGCCAGGTATCACCGAGGTGAGTCCCCTGTTTTGTACTTACTGGGGGGAAAAGGTTAAATTGCATCCTTAATTCCATTCTGTTCAAAGCTTGACCAGGTATTAGGCTCCTGTCTGTTCCCTTCTGTCTTCCATCGATTATCTTTAATATTCTTAGCCCATATTTCCTATAGTTTTCTGAAACATCTCAGAAAAATAAATAGCCCTGGTGCTCTCTTGCTAACCCTGAGAGTCATGATGCCATGAAAACCTATACGTAGACTCACAATCTACATAATTAATACCGATTTTACTTGTAATATTTTCAGTTACACTGTACTGCAACAGACATGTGCTTTATATTTTTATCTGCGTATGGGGTATCATCTAGGGAATCTACTGTTCCTTGTAAGTTGCTCAGAGCTTTTCTGGATAGAGCAGAATATAAATCTAAATATTAAACAAATAGTGAGTTGAGCCCTTTTCTTTTTCTACAGAACCAGGAAAATGTATAAGGGTTATGGGGCAAGGAAAAACTGAGGAGAAAAAAACTTGGGGATTCCTTTCATTTACAACTTTTTTTTCCTGTGTTATAATCCAGTTTTGAGTTCATAAATTCTCTATTAACACCATCTGTGGAAGTGTCTGAAGTGTCATAAGGCACTTTTGTAGTAGTCTTTGAAATTAAATATTTATATGAAGTCTAATTTATGATTAATAGTTCACTGGCAAATAAGAGTGATTAAGAGTTTATCCAAGTTGATCTTGATTTTAAATCTATTGTTTTGGGTAAAATGTATTTTTTGTATTGGAACCCTTGATCTTAATTTGTTTTCAACTAGATGCTGGCAATCCAGTCTACTTTTATGAATTTTGCCATAGACCAAGTGAAGAAGCACTTATTAAACCACCCTTTGTACAAGCGGATCATGGAAGTGAACTTGGCTATGTCCTAGGAAAGCCCTTCTTAGCTGGTAATGTATCTGTGCTTGCTAGAGAATTCTTATTAAGGCCCCATCAAAGCCATTATTATTATTTGACACTTGAAATATATCTTAGAAATATAAAATGATTTTTGGTTTTGTCTTGTAATAGTGCACTAAAATTTTTCACCAGGTACCCCATATACAGGTCCAGTCTTGTAGTCCCTACTCCTGAAAAGCTCCAAGAAGTTTGCAATGGGTAGCACACTTCTTAATTTTTACTGGAATCAATTCTAAGGGAACCTACTTTTTTGTTTTGTGCTGACATGACAATTTTATATCTCATTTGCAGGTGGAGCTACAGAAGACGAGACTAAACTTAGTAGAACAATGATGAAATACTGGGCTAACTTTGCTCGCTGTGGGTGAGACTCCTACTTACTTAAGGATCATGTTACCTTTGTTGCCTCAGCCTGTTAGAACTAGACCTAGTTAGTTTCTGGAGTTTACAGTACTGTTTTAAACACAAATCCTTCCTAATGTGATCAAGAGTAGACCTCCAGGTAAACAGAATGAGTTGGCTGAAGAGCCACAGCATCCATACCTTTGAAAATGGAGTAGATCTGCTGTCAACTAAATATAGAAATATTAGCTGTTTCACTATGGATCAGTTTGGCAAAGGCAGCCGTCCTGAGGATGCCTCAAGATGCTTCTTAGGGTGATCTCTTTTATTGGACCAGTTATGTAGTTGGGATAAAGTTAGACAAGCTTACCAATGTAAGACATTCTTCCTCCAGTCACTCCTGTCACCCAGCATCAGAGAACAGCTGCTAAAAAGGTAACAAACAGGGTATGGCCAGATTCATAAGAACGTAAGTACTGCCATTGATTGGGTCAGACCATAGGTCCATCTTGCCTAGTCTTGTGTCACATGGGCAGAAAGCAGATGCTGAAAGGGAGAGTGAACAGGCCATGACCAGGGTGTTTTCCACTGTTCCTCTCACTTGTAGCCTCCAGCATTGAAGCTGTAGGATACTGGTGCTCAACCTTTTTTCCCAGCGGGCTGGATGGGCAATGCCCAGTTTACCTACAGGCTGGGTCTGGCTGGTGGTCCTAATCTCAGGGAGACCTGAAGAAGAAGGTCTTACATTTAGAAGCTTGTCTAATGCCCATGGGAGGAACAGGGGTGTAGGTTGTAGTCGTGTTGGTCTAAGGACGCAGGCAGACAAAGATCTTTGGTTGAATTTGATATCTTGAGTTGGTCTAATAAAAGATATCAGATTTACCCAAAGAACCTCGCCTGCCATGGGAGGACCGGGCACTGCCCATCAGGTCTGCTGGGGAAAAAGGTTGAGCCCTACTATGCTGAAGGCTGCAAATGAGAGGGGAATAGTGGAACACACCCTGGTGATATGCAATTTACTCTCCCTTTCAGCATCTGCTCTCTTCCCCTGTGTGACACAGGAGCCTGGGCAGGATGGACCTATAGTCTGACCCAGTCAGTGCCAACTCTTTTGTTCTTATAAACCCAGTCTTACCCTGTTCACTCCCCTTTCAGCAACCGGGTAACACAGTAAAGACCTGAGGAAGAATGTCCTGAATTGGAAAGCTTGTCTAATTGTATCCCAACACAGAGGTCCAATAAAAGGGACCACCCTAAGCAATCCTTGCCTCTGGTGTAATTTCTGGACTATCACAGCTACACCATCACTTATGTTACCAAGATCATTAGACCCTTGGTAAGTTCTAGTGACAGTGACAGACACAGTGCCAACACAGTGCTTCACGCTATTGCTTGCAGGACTCCTAATGGACGTGGCTTGGTGAAGTGGCCAGCCTACGGTAAGAACGAGCAGTACCTGGTGATAGATCTAAAGCAGAAGGTGGCAAAGAGACTGAAGGAGGATAAAGTGGCGTTCTGGACAAATCTGCTGCCTGTCGAGATGCCTCACAGCCAGAGTGAGCACGTGGCGTTGGGAGGCTAAGTGCCTCGTCCCAGGAGAAATAAAGCAAGCCAGGACCCGTGCCTGGCATCAAGCATGGGTGAGCGGGGAAGGTGGATGAGGCTGAAGCTGATTCCTTATTCCCGGTTCCTTTCTCAAAGTTAATCTTTAAACAATTAAAGGTGGTTGGTCATGCATTAGCCATGCTAATTGAGCATACAGTTTGATGAAATTCTACTACAAAGAAGGTAAAACAACATCACACGCTCACTACACAGCCCTAAAGCTGGGGCTGAGTTTGGGCTGGGGTGATGGGGTAAAGTCCTTTTTTGGGTTGCCCCAGCCACACATTTCCCAGCGTCATGGGAAACTTCTGAAGCAGCCCTTGACTGACCCAAAGCTTTGCGTTCACACGCCAGCCTGTGCACCGCCATGAGGAAGGGTCTGCGTTTGGGTTGTACATCCCTGCCAGGAGCACTCTCCTGAAGAAGCTGGGCAGGAACCTGCTGCCTGTCAATCTGGGGTTTGGGGTGTCCCACCCCTAGACATTGAGCTGCACTTGAGTTGGGCTTGCCGTGCAAAATCTTGCTCAGGCCCCCAACCTTGTTCCTCCCTGGGCTGGGGCCACACATCCCCGGTTTCTTCACCCACGCAGTGGCTGTTGCGACCCCCTTATTCGCCGCTCGAGGGGCGCTGCTGCCCCCAGGCCGGCTCGAACCCGCAGCTCCACTGCACCCTGACAGTCCAAGGTCGGCGCATGCGCTTCACCGGAGCCAGCCCGCGTGCCACCCCCTGGGCCTCAGCAGAGGCAGCCGGAGGAAGAGGCGTTCTCTGCCAGATTCCGCTTGTCCTCCCTCGCGCGCCGTAGCCGAGGGGGCGGGGCTAGACCCCACGTGCGCGGCCATGGCGGCTCGCAGCGCTGGGCCGCCGGTGCTGCTGGGGCTGCGGGACGCCGCCATCCCGCCATCGG